TTCTGCACTCAGCTGGGTCTTGTACCTGTCTTGCCTCACTTGCTCTCCTCTTGACCTTGCTTGTACTGTCACATATATATACCTACTCTTGCTTGTCTAGCTCTATATATATATGTGCACTCCTGCATGTGAACTGGCCTTGTGGCCTTGTCGTTGTGCTCGGACTGTGTGGTGACTTTGTGATCCACCCTGAGCTTGCTGTGCTTTGCGTGACTGGTCTTGTGACCCCTTGTTCTCCCCCACTTTGCCTATGGGGGTGTGTCAGAACATATATATAGCTTATGCTGTTGTGTAGGCTATAGTGGGGTATCCCATAGGGGGTACAACCCAATTAGGGTTTCCTATATGTACTCACTTCATTCATAGTTCATTCATTCTTGTTCAAATCTTCTCAGTCCCTTCCGCAGCTGCAGCTGGCAGCAGTTGAAATCGAATCGTTTGTCGTGGGCGGGTCGAATTGGGCGATTTGTCGCTAGTAGAGTTGGAAGTCCCGTCCCGAAATCCTCTGGCCGTGAAATCGGGGTGTGGCGAAAATGTCGTCGATGAATACGATTGATGGCGAATTTGAATACGAGAGTCAGTGACGGTCGTCGCAGATGTAACCAATATCGAATGTCACTCCGAAAATGTTGTCGAGCACGATCCAGCGTCAGATGATGTCAGCACCTCCGGCGGTTTTGTCCAGACTCGTCGAGCAATTTGTCGGAATGCGCCGAGGTCTCCTGGGCAGGGATGAAAAATTGCAGCTGTCTCTCCCCCCCCTTCACTGTTACTGCCGCCTTCTTCAGTTCGTCGTAAGTCGTTCGTCCCCCTTGAAAACTCCGTGTAGTTCTCGCGGTGTTGCCCCATGTCGTTGTCGCGCGCTTAACCGAACGCCACAACTCCTCCGAAACTGTCGGCGCTCTTGGCCATAAAACCGGTAAGTCCCCACGTAAAACTCCGAAATAGTCGCTCGAATCAAGCCCCGTAAATCCGCAGCTGCAGTTGCAGTTCGCCTCTGAAAATCTCGGACGTACCATAGCCGCCCACCCGGTCACCATCAGTTTCCGTCGGTTACCCGACCCCAGCATGTGGGTTCAATCGAGAACCGGGGACTGCCTTGGGCTATTCCGAGACCGAATTTCACGGAACCTAGTGGCATCAACGCCGTTGACTTCGTCGTTGAAACTGCTCCCGCCGATGCTGCTTAACAAAATACCACGTTTCTCCCACCAGCGCTTTGCAGATGTTTCACCGCATCGCTCGTCGCCGGTCGATAAGGTCCCGAAGCTACGACTGCTCCCACACTCCCTTTTTTCTGAAGAATTTCCCGAGGTGTGCGTTTAAACACCGGGGGTCCTAGGTCTCCTTGCCGCTGTGTTTCTTGCCAGGCTACTTCGATAAGTGCCCTTCAGGCGAAGTCCCCCAACGGCTCAACCGCACTCCAAGAAGCGAAGAAATACCCGCAGCTTCATATTTTTTTGTCGTTTCACCCCCCGACATTTCCGCTTCCCGCCGTTCACCCAGCGTCCGCTTTTGTCGGATGGGGTATAGTCGGTGTTGCCCGCGCGAACCCGTCTACGGTGGAGGGGAAAAAACTATCGGAGTCGGGGACCCTTATTTAAAAGGAACTGTCGCCCAACCGTTTTGCAGCCCACCGCAAACGTCGCGCCACTAAAACTCCACAGCTCCCGGTCCCTGCTTCGCCGCTGCGACGTCACCTCGTGTAGACGCCCGGGTCAGGAGAAACCAGCGAGCTGCACCAATGTTGTCCGTGCGGCGCCCCGATTTTTTCGCGTGCTGTTTCACCCAGCCCGCTTTTGTCGGAGCAGAAAAGTGCCGCAACTCCCTTTTTTGTCTTTTCTGTAGAGCTGTCGAACGGGCACCAAACCAGATGCTTTTAACCAGCGCAGGGTAGGCTCGTGTTCACCCCCGTTATTCATCCGAATAAGGTCGGCTGCATGAGTCGGAACCAGTAATTGGTGGGGATGGTGAGGTTCGGGCGTAGTAGGGCCACAGATCGGTTCCACCGGCTTTTATCTGCTCCCCACGATGTTCTTCAACCCCCGCTTAGCCGTTGGGCAGTCTCTTTTCGCGTGTCCCGGCGGCCTGCACCACACTCCGAAATTGTCGGGGTAGCACCTTGAACACCGTTTAATCGTGGGCTGCTGCGGCTGTCCCCGAAATCGGCTTCCTTGAACGGGGAAACCGATCTCGAAACTGTCGAACAGCTGGCAAGCAACTCCAGGCACGCAGCAACAAACGAGTATTTTTCGGGTGTTCAGTCCCGATATGCCCTCGTGCCTGCGCCCCACTACTACTAAGTGCGATTTAGCCACGTCGTTGTCTGTTGCAGCCCGTAAGTGTCGGCGGGTCCAAAGTTCTCGTCTGTCCACAAGCACTTCTGCCGAAAATCGTCGACGACTCGCCCGCCAGTACGGTAAGCGCCGTACTATCCGGTCGGACGGGATGAAACTCAACCCCCGCTTAATTCGGGCGGCTTGAGCGTCTATCTCTCCCAGCCGTCGGGATCCTCTGACGCAAAACTCCATTTGCGCCTGGCGAGTTCTTCGAGCTGCCCTTTTCTTCACAGTCGAAACCTCCGAAAATCTCGCGCGCACGTTGACGAACAACCACGCCAACTGCCGCACCAGACGACGACTCCGAAATCTTCGTGCAGATGCCGACGCAGGACAGCTGCCACACGAAAATCAACTCCGAAATCGTCGGAACGCAGCGGAAATAACTCATGTTAAATGTCGCGACAGCTACAGCTGCCCGTTGCCCGGGGGGAGGGAGGCCACGGTCGATCGCGACCGTTCAAGGCAAGGATCCGGCGGTACTAAGGAGTGCCCCGTAAAAACATAGCCGCGAGGAGCAACTAACTCGTTCTTCTGGCTGGCCTACGCAACTCCTGGACCCCAAGACATCCTTCCTCGTCCCCCCCCCCCCCCCCCCCCCCCGAGGGGTATTACACTCTAAAAAGCGGGGTAGGCTAGGAAAGTAGCTCTGATACCAGGTGTTATGAATGAACTTGTAGAGTGCGCAGTAAAACGAATAACGAGAATGAGAATTACAGAATTACTGAATCACGATACAATGGAAGTGACGAGGCCTAAATAGGGGAAGTCCTAGCAAGGCGGGGAGGTTCGGGAAAGGATGGCTCGGTGATGGTTGCGATTGGTGCGGAGGCGACTCGAGAGTGGTTCGGTGCGACGAAATAGGAAGGACAGGTTCGTCGCGTGACCCTCGGGATGGCCTCGATAACGAGTGCTGTCAGAATGTTATTGTTCTCTAGCCTGCAGTGGGGTACTCTATAGCGAGTACAACCCCTTAGGGTTTCCTATATGTATCCTGCTGCTTTCTAGTGAACACCCTCCTTTGCTTATTCTCTCTTGCCTAGCTAGGGCTTACCTAGCTAAGGCTCCTACTTGTGCTTACTATCTCAATATGGTATCAGAGGATCTACGCTCCTGGCCTGTGGGCCCACCTAACTGCTTCCGCTGCTACTCTGTATGTTGCACGCCCCGTGGCGTGCGACGGATTTCTCTTCCCGCCGCGCGCTCGGAGCGTGCGGCGGTTTTCTGCCCGCCGTGCGCCCCGGGGCGTGCGGCGGTTCTCTGCCCGCCGTGCGCCCCGAGGCGCGCGGCGGCCTTCTGCCCCGTCGGTCCGCGCGTCGCCCCCGGGGGGCGCTTCGACGGGCGACGGGGACCAGCCCGTCGTCCCCCGTCGCCCGTCCTGGCCAGCGCGGGCTGCGCTAGCCCCGAGCGCGGCCCGTACGGGCTGCGCCCGGCCCGCGCGCGGCCCGTACGGGCTGCGCCAGGCCCGCGCGCGGCCCGTACGGGCTGCGCCAGGCCCGCGCGCGGCTCGGGCCGCCTGCGCGCGGTTCGTCGGGCTGTGCCAGGCCCGTGGGCGGCCCGTTCCTCTCTGTCCCTGAGCTGTTCGCTGTCCCCCGTGCTTCTGACGGTGCCCCACCCCTGCTGCTGCCCGTTCTCCTGAATTAGGGTTTGGGGGTGAGGAGTTTGGGGGTGGCGGTTGTGTGTTACTCCCCTTGCTCCTCCTCCTCCCTGGTCTCCCACTGCTGCAGCTGCCGCTGAGGGGGGTGGGTGTGTGGGAGCCTAGGGTTTAGGGTTTAAGGGGGGTGCCGTGGGAGTGGAGCTAGGGTTCAGCAGGGGGTTTGTGTCGAGGGTGTGGGGCAGTTGGAGGAGGTTGTGTGAACGTAGCTGTCGTGTCGCCTGCAGCGCCTGTAGTCCGTCGCCCTTGCTTCGGTAGCCAGTGAGCCTGTTGCACCAGTCGCCAGTGGGTCCGTTGCTCCTGCCGCTTGTCTATAGCCGCGGAGCCAGTCACTCCAGTAGTCCGTCGCCCTTGCTTCGGTAGCCACTGAGTCAGCCGCTCCTGTGCCCGTGCCTCTGCAGCTTCAGTCGTTGCCTCGCATCTTCTCTCCCTCCACAGTTCCTCCTCCTCCTCACTTGCCCGCTGTGATTAACTCTAGCTTTGCTTACTATTGTGAACTCCTGCTATACCTGCTCTAGGACTACTTGCTCTGCTGATTATACCCCACTTTGACTATGGGGGTGTGTCAGAATGTTATTGTTCTCTAGCCTGCAGTGGGGTACTCTATAGCGATTACAACCCCTTAGGGTTTCCTATATGTATCCTGCTGCTTTCTAGTGAACACCCTCCTTCGCTTATTCTCTCTTGCCTAGCTAGGGCTTACCTAGCTAAGGCTCCTACTTGTGCTTACTATCTCAACAAGTGCCTCAGTAAGGATTTGTAAATCCTTACATGTACACTTTGGGCCAAGGCGCCCCAACCAGTTTTGGTTGGGCGCGTCCCAACCCCACTCTGCCACAATTGGCGGGGGGAACCAGGCCCCCCAATAATTGGCAGCCACCTCCAAAACATTATTGGTGGCTACTCCCATTGGCTGACCAATAATGTTGCGGGTACCCAACCTAGGTCTCCCACTTCTCATCTCTTATATGTACCCACCATCTTTCTAATCAAACCAACTCTTGAGTTCACCTATCATCCCAACTATGGGATTCTCACATGGTATCGAGCTGTTTTGGCTAACGCCAACTTCCCCCTCCCTAGGAACCTCCAGCCATCATGCTGACCTAGGAGATCCTCGGACCCATGCCACCTTCATGGTCTTTGCCCTACCAGCCTGCTCCCCTCCCTCAGGCTTTCCCCCGTGGCATTTGAGGCGCTTGTACGCGCCGACCACCGCGACGAACGCGCCGACCAGCGGGACGTCCGCGCCGACCAGCGCGACGAACGCGCCGACCAGTGGGACGCCCGCGCCGACCAGCGCGACGAACGCGCCGACCAGCGGGACGTCCGCGCCGACCAGCGCGACGAACGCGCCGACCAGCGGGACGTCCGCGCCGACCAGCGCGACGACCGCGCCGACCAGCGGGACGTCCGCGCCGACCAGCGCGACGACCGCGCCGACCAGCGGGACGTCCGCGCCGACCAGCGCGACGAACGCGCCGACCAGCGGGACGTCCGCGCCGACCAGCGCGACGAACGCGCCGACCAGCGGGACGCCCGCGCCGACCAGCGCGACGAACGCGCCGACCAGCGGGACGTCCGCGCCGACCAGCGCGACGACCGCGCCGACCAACGGGACGTCCGCGCCGACCAGCGGGACGAACGCGCCGCCCGTCAATCCCGCTCCCGAGGGCATTCCGCCCCTCAATCCGGCTCCCGAGGGCCTTTCGCCCGTCAATCCGGCTCCCGAGGGCATTCCGCCCGTCAATCCCGCTCCCGAGGGCATTCCGCCCCTCAATCCCGCTCCCGAGGGCCTTTCGCCCGTCAATCCGGCTCCCGAGGGCATTCCGCCCGTCAATCCGGCTCCCGAGGGCATTCCGCCCGTCAATCCCGCTCCCGAGGGCATTCCGCCCGTCAATCCCGCTCCCGAGGGCATTCCGCCCGTCAATCCCGCTCCCGAGGGCATTCCGCCCGTTAATCCCGCTCCCGAGGGCATTCCGCCCGTTACTCCCGCTCCCGAGGGCATTTTGCTCGTCAATCCCGCTCCCATCATTCTTCTCCACGCTTACGCCCACCTTCTCCCTCTCCTCCTCCACCTAAGGGCCATCCAGCCCTCCTCACCCTTCCCCCTCGCGTCCTCCTCCTAAGGGCCATCCAGCCCTCCTCACCCTTCCCCCTCGCGTCCTCCTCCTAAGGGCCATCCAGCCCTCCTCACCCTTCCCCCTCGCGTCCTCCTCCTAAGGGCCATCCAGCCCTCCTCACCCTTCCCCCTCGCGTCCTCCTCCTAAGAGCCATCCAGCCCTCCTCACCCTTCCCCCCTCGCGTCCTCCACCTAAGGGCCATCCAGCCCTCCTCACCCTTCCCCCGTCGCGTCCTCCTCCTAAGGGCCATCCAGCCCTCCTCACCCTTCCCCCCTCGCGTCCTCCTCCTAAGGGCCATCCAGCCCTCCTCACCCTTCCCCCCTCGCGTCCTCCTCCTAAGGGCCATCCAGCCCTCCTCATCCTTCCCCCCTCGCGTCCACATCCTAAGGGCCATCCAGCCCTCCTCACCCTCCCCCCTCGCGTCCTCCTCCTAAGGGCCATCCAGCCCTCCTCACCCTTGCCCCCTCGCGTCCTCCTCCTAAGGGCCATCCAGCCCTCCTCACCCTTGCCCCCTCGCGTCCTCCTCCTAAGGGCCATCCAGCCCTCCTCACCCTTCCCCCCTCGCGTCCTCCTCCTAAGGGCCATCCAGCCCTCCTCCCCTTCCCCCTCGCGTCCTCCTCCTAAGGGCCATCCCGCCCTCCTCCCCCTTCCCCCCTCGCGTCCTCCTCCTAAGGGCCATCCAACCCTCCTCCCCTTCCCCCTCGCTTCCTCCTCCTAAGGGCCATCCCGCCCTCCTCCCCTTCCCCCTCGCGTCCTCCTCCTAAGGGCCATTCGGCCCTCCTCCCCTTCCCCCTCGCGTCCTCCTCGTAAGGGCCATCCAGCCCTCCTCCCCCTTCCCCCTCGCGTCCTCCTCCTAAGGGCCATCCCGCCCTCCTCCCCCTTCCCCCTCGCGTCCTCCTCCTAAGGGCCATCCGGCCCTCCTCCCCTTCCCCCTCGCTTCCTCCTCCTAAGGGCCATCCCGCCCTCCTCCCCTTCCCCCTCGCTTCCTCCTCCTAAGGGCCATCCGGCCCTCCTCCCCTTCCCCCTCGCTTCCTCCTCCTAAGGGCCATCCGGCCCTCCTCCCCTTCCCCCTCGATTCCTCCTCCTAAGGGCCATCCGGCCCTCCTCCCCTTCCCCCTCGCTTCCTCCTCCTAAGGGCCATCCGGCCCTCCTCCCCTTCCCCCTCGCTTCCTCCTCCTAAGGGCCATCCCGCCCTCCTCCCCTTCCCCCTCGCGTCCTCCTCCTAAGGGCCATTCGGCCCTCCTCCCCTTCCCCCTCGGTTCCTCCTCCTAAGGGCCATCCAGCCCTCCTCCCCTCCCCCCTCGCGTCCTCCTCCTAAGGGCCATCCCGCCCTCCTCCCCTTCCCCCTCGCTTCCTCCTCCTAAGGGCCATTCGGCCCTCCTCCCCTTCCCCCTCGCGTCCTCCTCCTAAGGGCCATCCCGCCCTCCTCACCATTCCCCCTCGCGTCCTCCTCCTAAGCGCCATCCAGCCCTCCTCACCCTTCCCCCCTCGCGTCCTCCACCTAAGGGCCATCCAGCCCTCCTCACCTTCCCCCTCGCGTCCTCCTCCTAAGGGCCATCCAGCCCTCCTCACCCTTCCCCCTCGCGTCCTCCTCCTAAGGGCCATCCAGCCCTCCTCACCCTTCCCCCCTCGCGTCCTCCTCCTAAGGGCCATCCAGCCCTCCTCACCCTTCCCCCCTCGCGTCCTCCTCCTAAGGGCCATCCAGCCCTCCTCACCCTTGCCCCCTCGCGTCCTCCTCCTAAGGGCCATCCAGCCCTCCTCACCCTTGCCCCCTCGCGTCCTCCTCCTAAGGGCCATCCAGCCCTCCTCACCCTTGCCCCCTCGCGTCCTCCTCCTAAGGGCCATCCAGCCCTCCTCACCCTTGCCCCCTCGCGTCCTCCTCCTAAGGGCCATCCAGCCCTCCTCACCCTTCCCCCCTCGCGTCCTCCTCCTAAGGGCCATCCAGCCCTCCTCCCCCTTCCCCCCTCGCGTCCTCCTCCTAAGGGCCATCCAGCCCTCCTCCCCTTCCCCCTCGCGTCCTCCTCCTAAGGGCCATCCAACCCTCCTCCCCCTTCCCCCCTCGCGTCCTCCTCCTAAGGGCCATCCAACCCTCCTCCCCTTCCCCCTCGCGTCCTCCTCCTAAGGGCCATTCGGCCCTCCTCCCCCTTGCCCCTCGCGTCCTCCTCCTAAGGGCCATCCAGCCCTCCTCCCCCTTCCCCCTTCGCGTCCTCCTCCTAAGGGCCATCCAGCCCTCCTCACCCTTCCCCCCTCGCGTCCTCCTCCTAAGGGCCATCCAGCCCTCCTCACCCTTCCCCCCTCGCGTCCTCCTCCTAAGGGCCATCCAGCCCTCCTCACCCTTGCCCCCTCGCGTCCTCCTCCTAAGGGCCATCCAGCCCTCCTCACCCTTGCCCCCTCGCGTCCTCCTCCTAAGGGCCATCCAGCCCTCCTCACCCTTGCCCCCTCGCGTCCTCCTCCTAAGGGCCATCCAGCCCTCCTCACCCTTGCCCCCTCGCGTCCTCCTCCTAAGGGCCATCCAGCCCTCCTCACCCTTCCCCCCTCGCGTCCTCCTCCTAAGGGCCATCCAGCCCTCCTCCCCCTTCCCCCCTCGCGTCCTCCTCCTAAGGGCCATCCAGCCCTCCTCCCCTTCCCCCTCGCGTCCTCCTCCTAAGGGCCATCCAACCCTCCTCCCCCTTCCCCCCTCGCGTCCTCCTCCTAAGGGCCATCCAACCCTCCTCCCCTTCCCCCTCGCGTCCTCCTCCTAAGGGCCATCCCGCCCTCCTCCCCTTCCCCCTCGCGTCCTCCTCCTAAGGGCCATTCGGCCCTCCTCCCCTTCCCCCTCGCGTCCTCCTCCTAAGGGCCATCCCGCCCTCCTCACCATTCCCCCTCGCGTCCTTCTCCTAAGCGCCATCCAGCCCTCCTCACCCTTCCCCCCTCGCGTCCTCCACCTAAGGGCCATCCAGCCCTCCTCACCCTTCCCCCTCGCGTCCTCCTCCTAAGGGCCATCCAGCCCTCCTCACCCTTCCCCCTCGCGTCCTCCTCCTAAGGGCCATCCAGCCCTCCTCACCCTTCCCCCCTCGCGTCCTCCTCCTAAGGGCCATCCAGCCCTCCTCACCCTTCCCCCCTCGCGTCCTCCTCCTAAGGGCCATCCAGCCCTCCTCACCCTTGCCCCCTCGCGTCCTCCTCCTAAGGGCCATCCAGCCCTCCTCACCCTTGCCCCCTCGCGTCCTCCTCCTAAGGGCCATCCAGCCCTCCTCACCCTTGCCCCCTCGCGTCCTCCTCCTAAGGGCCATCCAGCCCTCCTCACCCTTGCCCCCTCGCGTCCTCCTCCTAAGGGCCATCCAGCCCTCCTCACCCTTCCCCCCTCGCGTCCTCCTCCTAAGGGCCATCCAGCCCTCCTCACCCTTCCCCCCTCGCGTCCTCCTCCTAAGGGCCATCCAGCCCTCCTCCCCCTTCCCCCCTCGCGTCCTCCTCCTAAGGGCCATCCAGCCCTCCTCCCCTTCCCCCTCGCGTCCTCCTCCTAAGGGCCATCCAACCCTCCTCCCCCTTCCCCCCTCGCGTCCTCCTCCTAAGGGCCATCCAACCCTCCTCCCCTTCCCCCTCGCGTCCTCCTCCTAAGGGCCATCCCGCCCTCCTCCCCTTCCCCCTCGCGTCCTCCTCCTAAGGGCCATTCGGCCCTCCTCCCCTTCCCCCTCGCGTCCTCCTCCTAAGGGCCATCCAGCCCTCCTCCCCCTTCCCCCCTCGCGTCCTCCTCCTAAGGGCCATCCCGCCCTCCTCCCCTTCCCCCTCGCGTCCTCCTCCTAAGGGCCATCCAGCCCTCCTCCCCTTCCCCCTCGCTTCCTCCTCCTAAGGGCCATCCCGCCCTCCTCCCCTTCCCCCTCGCTTCCTCCTCCTAAGGGCCATCCCGCCCTCCTCCCATTCCCCCTCGCGTCCTCCTCCTAAGGGCCATCCCGCCCTCCTCCCCTTCCCCCTCGCGTCCTCCTCCTAAGGGCCATCCCGCCCTCCTCCCCTTCCCCCTCGCGTCCTCCTCCTAAGGGCCATCCAGCCCTCCTCCCCTTCCCCCTCGCTTCCTCCTCCTAAGGGCCATCCCGCCCTCCTCCCCTTCCCCCTCGCTTCCTCCTCCTAAGGGCCATCCCGCCCTCCTCCCCTTCCCCCTCGCGTCCTCCTCCTAAGGGCCATCCCGCCCTCCTCCCCTTCCCCCTCGCGTCCTCCTCCTAAGGGCCATCCCGCCCTCCTCCCCTTCCCCCTCGCGTCCTCCTCCTAAGGGCCATTCGGCCCTCCTCCCCTTCCCCCTCGCGTCCTCCTCCTAAGGGCCATCCAGCCCTCCTCCCCCTTCCCCCTCGCGTCCTCCTCCTAAGGGCCATCCAGCCCTCCTCCCCCTTCCCCCCCTCGCGTCCTCCTCCTAAGGGCCATCCCGCCCTCCTCCCCTTCCCCCTCGCGTCCTCCTCCTAAGGGCCATCCAGCCCTCCTCCCCTTCCCCCTCGCTTCCTCCTCCTAAGGGCCATCCAGCCCTCCTCCCCTTCCCCCTCGCTTCCTCCTCCTAAGGGCCATCCCGCCCTCCTCCCCTTCCCCCTCGCGT